TCTTGCAGTAGAAGCGCTGTACTTTTGTTAACTTGTGAGATCTTTTATTCTTTTGTAAAATTGTCAAAAATTTATAATAAATTCTAATAATAAATAATTACTATTTATGCACTTCTAAACTTTAATAAACTATACAATTCCAGTTGTCATTACTATTTGGCAACTGCTGCGTGAGGGACTGCCATGAAACAGTGAAATAGTTGTTATTGTCATTATTTTTGGTGACTCCAGGTTTCAGAGAGTTTTGGCCTTTTGGATCACCTCTACACCAACTTCAACAAACCCAAGTTTTCCAAGTTCTGCATAGTCCTGGCCCAAGGTAAGTTCTGTGGCCATGTTGTGAAGGGGAACATTCTTCTTTGGTATTCCATCATTGTGGACAATGATAAGAGCAAGCAGTCAAGATGCCTCTGACATTCATAATCTTGTGTGGTTCTGAAGCCCTTTCTAGCCCTAACAGTCCCAAGTCCTCCAATTTCAATACGATTTTACATACACGCCAGGGGGTTAGGGTTAAAGGAATTTTAACTGAGTGGGCAAGTGTCCAATGTGTGGCTGTACTTGATACAAATGTTTGTGTTTCTAGTATTGGAACTGCACATGACTTCCCTAGTCGTGAGTGCCTGGAAATATGCGTATTTGATGACAATTTTTGTTTCACTGTGTGAGTAAAACCTGGTTGTTACAAATGGCTTGCTGCTTAATCAGGAATTTAATCCACTTGCAGACTTCTAGTTGTTGAAGTTGACTGATGTTTGTGTTATTAGGGGCGTCGGAAGCAAAAGACCCACTGTGCATATGGTTATTCCGAGAAGCTGGCTGGCAACTCGGCCGCCATATTCTTGCTGTTGCACCCAAGATTGACAAGGTAGGCATTTCAAGTATCCTGCTGGTCATTGTTAGGATTGTAGGTCAATTCGCCCCCTGGCCGACTCGCCCCTTACCAGCTCGCCCCTTACCAACTTGCCCCCTGACCGACTCGCCCCCCTAGCCGACTCGCCCCCTAGTCAACTCGCCCCCTAAGTTTGCCAAGCACGTATGGCCGGCCCATTCACCATTTAATAAAAAATACAATCAGTCAGAGATGGAATCGGTGATTGCTGCCCTTAAAAATAGGTTCTGGGGTTTGCAGCGGGCACTCAAAGTTGAGTTTGTTTAAAGCTTGGTGGATATTCCCTTTGTGTGGAATTTGGGGGTAACAATTTTTTTTTGATATTGGTAAAACTAATTTAGTATTATCGTGTGTATGGGCCATGGCGCAGCGTTTCCTGTGTATTGTCTATGGGATTTTGTGCACCACAACACCAACACTCTACCATATTAATTAACTTTTCGGACTATTCTGGATAAAAAAATGGTACATATTAGGCATAATGCCCGGCGACGCGAACCTACGGAAGTGTTAAGGAGACATGATTTATGACAAAGGATGTAACGGTCGCTACACACTTTCAGGTTCCACTAACTTCACAGGATGCATTTATTAGTTCACAATTAACACTAAATACTGATTTATTCGGTGAGTACACTCATCACATGTTGAAACAGTCATGTCATCTGGTGCCCGTTTCTTGTAAACAAATTAAGAGCACTCTCAAA